TGTCTCCATGCTTTAATGTTCAAAAAGCTCTTTATGTTCCTCATACTGCCTGTGCTGCAGCACCTCTTTTCACCCTCTGTCTGAAACCAGAGCCCAGTCTGCTCTGATTGGTTAGCTGGCCGGCTCTGTTGTGATTAGTCAACCGCTAAGAGATGTCCCGCCCCTTCACGTACAACGTGTTGGAGCGCTAGCCAATAGAAGCGTTACACAGTAATGTCGCTATGTTACAGAAGTAAACAAAGGAGTCAAATGGAGGTATTTCTGGCGCAGGGGGGGGGGGGGGGGGGGGGGGGGGGGGGGGCTTTGAGATGTTAGCCTTTGTAGACTAGTTACATGCACACAAACCTAAATAACACATTACTACAGGAAAGGGAAAACCCCAAAAGCATAATAGGGCCCCTTTAAGTTTGAATAGCTTAGTAGCACACTGACAGGTTACTTAAATTCAGTCTCTAGGTTAACTAAACTAAGGTGGTTTTATTTTACATGATATCACTGTGGACAAGTTTCTACCCTTCTGGCAGCGAGAGTTATTATAAACTGTCGACATGAGCTTTAGTAAGCAGTCCGACCGGTTGACCTGCTTCTGTAGTTTTGGTAGTCATAGCAGAGCCAGCAAGTCAAAACAAGAGTTATAAAAAAGGTCTGCATATTAGATCAAAAGGGGCGTGGCTACATGGGGTGATAGGCATGGAAGAAGCTGGCTCCTCCCTGTCACTTCTTTAGAAGGGAGATAACAGGTCATGAGTTACAATAAAGTCATTCCTGAACTCCAACAATCTCTTCCGCTCCCCTTTGTAATAAAATACTCTATTGCACCCATGGTGTTGATATTGTATGACACGCTAAAAAGAGTACTTGCTGAGATCAAAACTCTGTTGAATAGTAATGTAGTTTAAAGTGGACCTATCATGCTATATTTAAATGATATATTGTAGGGCCATACCTATATAAGGTATATTTATACGTTTCTGTTTTCAAAATACAGATCATGATTTTAAGCCATGCCTCATTTCGCTCTATGTGCTGTTCTCCCGCACTGTTTTTGCAGGGGTCTGATTCTGTGAGCTGCAGCTGACCACGCCCCCCTGCAGGAGAGGGGAGACGTGCTCTGATCAGCTGCTGGGCTGTCAGAAGAGGGGGAGAAAAAGAGATCTCCGTCCTCCGTGTTTTATTATATAGTCTTTATTCATTTGTTTTAAAGCTCAATAAATAACAAAGAAGACCTTTGACCGGCACTTTTCTAATTTTGTCTGGAAGATTTTAACTTTAATGGACATCTTGACCGGCGAAAGAAACTGAAACTGAAACTCTGCCGCACGGTTCCCTCGTTCCTTGGAAGAGGCGGAGAGGTGGGTGTTTGTCATCTGCTGGTGGACTAACCGGAGAGAATTACAGTGCTTGCCTCGACGGGGAGGGATTGCATTGAATTAAAGCAGAAGGAGCAAACGCTTGCCTCGGGGAGGGAGAAAAAAAGCCACAGAGAAGAATAAACAGAAGGGTAACCATGGTAACCATGCGCGGGAAGTCTTCTTCGCTGCTTTTGTGGCAGACTACAGCGCCACTTACAGGCCTGGCATATGTACTACAGCGTCTCCAGCGCTTTCGAGCGGCAATGGCTGGCCGTGGCCCAACCCCACATTCCCCTGATAGGTGGAGAGTTGGCCCAATAGCCGTAGCGCCACCGTCCTGACGTCAGGACAGTGTTCAAATCGGGATCAGTTTTTATCAGATCCGTTGCAGCCCCTTTTTTAGAGATTTGGGTATGGAGGAAAATAGAGAGGGTTGTGTTTTATGACACTTGGTGAGTTCCCTGGAACACCGGGGACACATATTCATGTATAAAAGACGTACAAAAGTGCATTTTGCATGATAGGTCCCCTTTAATGAAAAAAAACGCGGGTGATCAGACATGGACAATGTAATAATAATAATCAAAGCAATCATAAATCTTGCGGTCAACAAAAAGTACAACAGCCCTGTGTCACCCTCTCTTCCACACACACACCTCACGCAGGTGAACAGGTTTATAATGAGTGCTGACCCAAGCCAACCAACCAATTGTGTTTTGCATGTGTAACACATGCACCAAATATGAATGCTGAGCACAGAATTATTTATACGAATCAGTTTCGATCAAACCTCTCTAATATAAATGTAGAAATTTCAGTGTGTGGACCAGCACATCAGAAGTCTAGGTTGCTCAGGAGAAAATGGATACTGTGCAACAAAGGTGAAAAGACACAAAGCAGACGTTGTTTGGAAAAGGTACAGAAAGCTATAATATTTATTCCCTTTCTTTCAGATAAACATTTGATATACATATATATATTCAGTTACCTTGAATTTGAGAGTATCCTGGTTTTACTTATTTGTACCTATTTATTTTATAACTATTTTGGTATCATTTAGTGTTGTTACTTCTGTTTTAATTATCCCTATTTAATATAAACTAATGGTTTTATTTAAATTTAGTAGCTAAGCTATATATTCTAATTTTGGGAACCAGGACTCTGTATTTGAAATGTTATTTCAGATTCTTAAATAAAATGAAAGAAAACTTATCACATTACTTCTATACACATATAGTTATAACATATTCAACATAGTATCACACAATCAATAATCAAATCAGTTCTTGGCTCTCAACTTGTGAAGAGGAAAAGATGCACAAGTTCTTGTCCTACTATCATGGTGGGTAACTGTAATAGTTCTCTTCTTTTAGATAGGTCGATGGGTAGCTCGCCAGACTGAAATTCGCCACAGTACACCAGCAGAGATGAGGGCAGCGTTCCAGTCAAAGAATCCAGAAAATCTCCTTCACATCACACAAAAAAAAGACCCGACCAAGGGTATCATATAAGAGGCAATGCTCTTGGGGAAAAGTAGAAAAGTCGGTCAATCTAAGTGAAAAGTTGTCAAAATAACTACAATTAAAATCTATAGAGCTAATGCTGTCGAGTCATCATCCCAAAAAGGATAAACAGCCATCTCACTTCCTGTTAGATAGCAGACACGGGGCGGGTCTAAACTTTGATTGGCTTAGCCTTGCTTTACAACCACTTTAGATGGACAGGGGATTTATCTAATCACACTCATTTAAATGTTTTCATGAAGAATTGTCTAAATCATGTTGTCCTAAATTGCATATTGTGTATCTATATTGTTTCTATTTTAGTTTCAAATAATTTATATTATTTGTGTATGTAGTGCTAAGCATTAAAATAAAGTTGACATTTTAGTCAATGTTATTTCTCAGTGTCTTAGTAACCGGGGGTTACACATGCATGTGCTCCTATGGTTAAATTGGAACAAATGCATTAAATAATTTAACACTGTAATACCTCCCCACACCTTATCCTTTTTTTGTGAGCATTGTCTTTGTACTGTATTGCATTCTTTCTTGTTATGTTTGTCATTAAACATTTATAATTTAAGCTAAATTATTATGTTTGAGAATGCAGGCTCCATATTAACTTTGTTTTTAAATGTTATGTTACACTTTGTTTGGACAGGGAAACGACTAGACCACCGCACATTAGGGATTTTCAATACTCATGACTCTCCTGAAATGAAACAGAACATGTTGCCTTGGATCATTTTAAAGGGATAAATGATAAATGTATTCCTACAAAGATGTTCACCTTCAGCAACATATTGAGCTCCTCTACAAACCACACGCCTCCTCTGGAGCGAAACAAAGCACAAACCCCGTCAGAGCTGTAACAACTGGCAGTAATTAAAGCTAATTTCACGCCGCTGCAGTTTGTGAAGCTGCACGCGTCGAGCTATTCTTCACAATGAGTTTGGATGCTGAGGAGAAAGCACACCTGTCAATCAAAGCACAACCTCTCTGGCAGTGTTGGAAGAAGTACTCAGATCCTTTACTTAAGAACAATTACAAACACTATCAAGATGTACTTAAAGTACAAAAAATTAAAGTACTCATTCTGCTGGTGATCGTTTCATAATAGTAAAATGTACAGAAGTATTATCAGCTAGGTGTACTTCAAGTAAAACTACTCCATATGCAGAATGTGTGTTTTCACAGTATTATTATGGTTATTGTTTTATCCTGTTTTACATATAAGAGCATTTTATAAGAGTATTGTGGTTGATAAATGTGGATGAAATGTAGACACTGTGTAGATAATAAGTACAGTACTGCATTATACCATATCACTCAGCATGTATGTGTTATTATGTGTACAAAGCAACTGTGAGTTTTCCATCAGCGATGTATGGCACCGTGGAAATAATACAACAACATCCTTTGTCTATTTTTGAAAAATCCCAAACCTTTATTAATATTAAACATTTAATTTGATCACACATCCCATCAGTAAAGTCTGTTCAATGACTCTTGTTCAATGATTTCATGATCAGATTCACTTCATCCACACAATCAGAATCTCAGCTATTTAAAACAGAATAAGAAATGATTTACTTGTTGATTATTATCATGATATTTACAGTTTTATAAAACATCATAGTAGTTCATGTGTAAAACAACAACCACAGTAAGTCTGCAATAAGAAATTGTAATAATATATATATATTAAAAAATCCCACACAAAGACTCTTGAATATTGACAGGAGAATAAAAAATGATTTACTTATGATTATGATCATGACAGTAAGTAATATCATTTAAAATACTTTATGATTAAATACATTTTAAAAGATCTGGGTACCTCATTTGTTACTTAATTTGGGCAGCTACAATAATATTTAATTTGTCAAAATAATACATGTAATTATAAATGTTTTTTGTTTTTTTTACAGAGTAGTGAGAATAAAATGTCGATATTCAACAAATATTTAGAGCAAAGTTTACATTTCCATGCAGAGAAATATGAGTTGAGGTTAACAGAAATCCTCCTGAGCAGTGACAGCCTCCATGGCTAAACAGACACAGGAAGGAGCACCGCCTAAAGAAACTCCAACATCTACAGAACAACTCATGAGAAGATGTTAAAGCACATCCCATAATGTTTGATTGACAGCTGATCTCTGTGCAGTGAAGACATGAACAATCAGCTCTCAGCAACAATGATGGACACACAATGAGTTTAAGAAGTAGAAGAGTTCCTCAAATGACTTCAGGCTATTTCAGTTTACACAACTCAGCTGTGTCTCCATTACCATAAAGCCAAACTCCAACATGTAGCGGCTGAGTGAATGTGGTCTGGACTCTGTGGAGGAGAGTCATGGTTTCAGAGATGCTGTAGAAGGACAGAATACCTGCTCTGTGATCCAGGTACACTCCTACTCTGGAGGACCAAGGACCTGAGACGGGAGTGTGGATACTTTTGTAAAACAATGAATATCTGTTTTGGTTACAATATAATGCCCAAGACTTGTCATTGTATCCAAATCCACATTCATTCACCTTCCCTGCTCTGATTATATTCTTGTATGCGACTGCTACACAAACTCCTTCCCCTCTCTGCTCCACCTCCCAGTAACAACGTCCAGTCAGACTCTCTCTACTCAGGGCCTGAGACCCTCCCCCAGTGAATCTGTCTGGATGACTAGAATAAGACTGTTGTTGTTTCATGTTTGTTGCTTTTCTGCTCCCCTCAGATAATAACAGCTGTGTGTGTGCTGTGTTTGGATCCAGAGTGATCTCCTGTGAATATAGTAAGAACCCAGCTCTGGTGGTGGGCTCTGCTGCTGACAGTAAAACATCCACTTCAGTCGGTGAGACATTTGTCCATTCCTCTCTCAGGATGTCCTGTAGTTTGTCTCTGACTGCTGACAGGGCCGCCGTCACGTCCTCAAAGTAGCTCAGAGGACGGATGTTGATGCTGGATGAGTGTGTAGGTTCACTGAGGGCTGACAGTGAGGGGTAGCTGAGCAGAAACTGGTTGTGATCCTCTGTGTGAGACAGCAGCTTCAGCTCAGCATCTCTCCTCTTCAGCTCAGAGATCTCCTGCTCCAGCTTCTCCTGAAGCTCTTTGACTCGACTCACTTCACTCTTCTGCTGGGATCTGACCTGCTGCTTCACATCAGAGCTTCTTTTCTCCATGAGACGGATCAGCTCAGTGAACATCTTCTCACTGTCCTCCACTGCTTTATCAGCAGAGCCATTGACGGCCTCCACCTCCTGCTGAAGCAGCTTCACCTCCTTCTCTCTGTCCTGGATTCTCTGCTGGATGTTTTGTCGACTCCCCTCCAGCTCTCTCTGCCTCTCAGTCCTTTCTGCTGCAGCTGACACTGTGTCGTGGCCTTTGTGTTCGTCCACAGAGCAGAGATAACAGATACACTGCTGATCAGTGCGGCAGAACATCTTCATCACCTCGTCGTGACGAGAGCAGATGTTCTCCTGGAGCTTCTTGGAGGGCTCCACCAGCTTGTGCTTTTTCAAGACATGTAATTCATTATGAAGCTGGAGGTGTTTGTCACAATAAGAGGCCAGACACACGAGACAGGACTTACAGGCTCTCAGTTTTCTCCCAGTGCAGACATCACAGGCCACATCTTCAGCTCCAGCATAGCAGTGATCAGCAGGAGCAGTTTGGAGTCCAGTCTTCTTCAGCTCCTCCACTAAAGCTGCTAACATGGTGTTTTTCAGCAGGACAGGCCTCGGTGTGAAGCTCTGCCTACACTGAGGGCAGCTGTGGATCTTCTTCTCATCCTCTCCATCCCAGAAGCCTTTAATACACTTCATGCAGTAGCTGTGTCCACAGATAGTCGTCACCGGATCCTTCAGTAGATCCAGACAGATCGAACAAGAGAAGGTTTCCCGGTCCAGCTGAACTCCTTTCTGCGCCATTTCCCCTCTCAGTGGCAGCGAGTGTCTGAGTTTCACTTCCTGAAACCTGAAACTATGTGAGCTGTGATCTGAACAGCATGTGTGTGTGCAGTGAATGTGGCCTATCAGCTCTTGTACTTTACCCACATGTTGGTTACACCCATCCTCCTCAGTGTGGATCTAAAGGGGAGGAGCCAGGAAATACAGAGTGGAGCTGGCTGTGTCTGAGAGCAGGAAGAAGAGGGAGGGCTTATCAAACTCTGATTCATTCCAGGAAGAGGAGCAGCGCTGACACTCTGAACTGTTTCCTCATTTACAAACGGAGCCTCGCTTACAACCTGCTCTACATTTGAAAACAAAAAAATATTTGTTTTAAATTCAGGCTTTTGTAGCACACAGCTCCACACTCATGGTAGCAGTGGTGTAAGAAGTACTCAGATAGTAAGTAGAAATACTACAGGCTAAAAATACTGTGTAACAAGTAAAAGTACAAAAGCATTGGTATCAAAATATACTTTAAGTACCAAAAGTAAAAGTACTCCTTATGCATAATGGCCCTTTTCAGAATCGTATATATATATATATATATATATATATATATATATTGAGTTACTGGGTTACTATAATGATTATTGATGTGTTTTATCACAGTTAGTAAATGTAGAGATCATTTGAATAACTGTATGTCCTGCTGCTGGATATCTTAAACTATAAATAACTGTCAAAGTGTTTTTAATAATTGATTTATATTTTTGAATTATCTACTAATCTATATCTAACTAGTAACTAAAAGCTGTCAAATGAATGCAGTGGAGTAAACAGTACAATACTGTATTCTAAAATGTAGTGCAGCAGAAGTATAAAGCAGCATAAACTGAGGCGTATTGGCATCAACTACTACTTACTACTTACTGTGCATAATGTCTCATTTTAGAATCATATATATTGAATTACTGGATTATTTCATTTTTTATACATTAATGTGTTTGTTACATCCCTATTAAAGTGTAGGGGAAATGGAAACAGTAACACACAACAACCAATAACAGTCAGGGTGAAAGAGAACACAGGTTTATTTATTTACACCAAAAGAAATGCCAACAAATGTTCTTTAAGTGAGGAGACAAAGAAGATTATGCCAAATTAAATAAATGAATATAACAAAACTCAAACAAAAAGCCCTCACTATCTGTTCTACTAACAAGGAAACAAAACAACTATAGGGTGGCAACAACTAACCTAGTGTCTAACAGACTTTACCTACGTGAAGAGAGGTAGAGGGAACCCCAAACGTACCCAAATCCTCCCCCTCCCACACACACATTTAACAATACTAAAAACAAGATGGCAGAATAATGACCAAATCTATCAGAGACCACAAAGAGGCTCTGGAGTCAGCAGCAGGTCCGAGAGAGCAAAGGCTTCCTGGATCGCCTCCTTTAATGACAGGCCCTGGCTGCTGATAGGCCGGCTGAGGCTGAGGGGATCCAATCAGCATCAAGTGATCAGCTGATTACCTGCAGTGAGAAAAAGGGGAAGAGAAAAGAGCAGGAGGAGGGAAACACAACACAACCAGCAAAGCCCGCCTGGCACGTACCAGAGTTCATCAGCTGTTAAAGGTGGAGCAACTTCTACTGGGTATCTCAACCTATAATTATACATCATTGTTTAGTCATATTCTCTTTTAGCTAATAATCTGAATTTGTAACTAGTACCTACTTTTGTCAAATCATTGTAGTGAAGTAAAAAGTACAATACTGGTTTCTAAATTGTAGTGGAGTTGAAGTATAAAGTAGCATATAATGGAAATACTCAAGTAAAGTACAAGTACCACAATATTGCACAATACTTGAGTAAATGTACTTCACTACATTACACCACTGCATGGTAGTAAAGAGCAGTAATGAAGTAACTCATGAGAAGAGTTAATGATTATACTGGGCCAGAATCAGAGTAACAGCGGAGTCACAATGAGGAGTACATGCTGCTTTGATTTACTAAACCTTTAGAGGACTTGGAGAATAAGAGGGTAACAAACAACTAAACTGAACTCAGATCCAAAGTGACGGACAGCCAGAGACGCTTCACTTTCACATTCAAGAACAAAGACTTCACTTTTGTCTCTTCTTGCTCTTCATTTATAAGGAAAACCCCTAAGACGTTATATTGTTCAGACCTGTGGGAGTTAAAGAATGCAGCTATCATCTCACATCTGGAACATGTGAACAGAGACACAAGTTATTACAAACTAGGTGAAAGCAGGGGAGAGAGGGCCACACTGCATAATATAAAGAGAGGCACTTCTATCTTTTGGTGGCTATGTCCCAACATTGAGAATAATCAGTCAAACATGATAAGCGCTATTATACTGTACATGTTCCTTTATTTAACAAAGCCTTTTGGGAAGAGGCGTTTTGAGGCTCTTAAAAAATAAATCAAATGCATCACAATTCATGCCATCTTTACTTTTGTCTTAGTTTTCACTTCACTATCTAAGAAGAAAACCCTTAAAATGATATATGTTTAAAAGTCATTACTGAACTATCTTTGATGCACTTCTCTCTAAAACCTTGGATTAAAGGACCCTACACACTCAGAGATAATCAGACGTAGTTGTTGACTGCGGTGCTACGACGTGTAGAAAACTCTTCTTTGATTCAGTTACACTTCAGAGAGCGTGGGAAAAAAGAGGGTCAGAAAGAGGATTAGGGCCACATGGGGACATTTATTTAGATCTGACCAAAAGTGATTTTTTTATTCTGAGTAATAAATCAGAATTCTGACTTTAATCTCAGATTTCAGAAAAAAATAATATTGTTTTCTAAACATTTTCATAAAAATAAATAAAAGATATTAAAAAAAAAGTCAGATTTCTGAAATAATCTGAGATTAAAATCAGAATCAAGAAAATGTCGAGGTCTGACCGAAAGGCTTTTTTTACTCACTTTAATTTCAGATTTCTGAGATTTTCAGAAAAAAAACTTTAAATAAAAAATTAAATTGAAGAAACAAATCTTGAAGGTCCCCTCTCATGCAGATTGCACTTTTTAATGTCTTTAATACATATATATGTCTCCCCTGTGTCAAGGGCGCCGGAAGCGGGGGGGCCAGGGGGCCATTGGCCCCCCCACTTTTCAGCCCTGCCCCACATTTTCGCAGCGGCGGATGCCGTGGAACACTGTACAAATCCCGTTTCAATAATTCCCTCTACTCTAAAGTCGCATCTAAAACGCGATCTGATATAGCTGTGTATATTTTGTTATGTTTGATTGTTATATTCAATCTCATTAGCTACAGGCATTTTTTAAGCTTGTAAAGCTCTCACTCGCCACTCTGCTGTTCCACAGCGCCGCTTCCCCTCCCTCTGCTGAAATTATGAATGTAAGGCGTATAGTAATCATAGATAACACGGCAGGGTCCGTTACAGTTTGTTTTTATCTGATTTCAAATAAACAAAGTCTTGGCTTTCAGAATATTAAACTTGTTTCGGCAAATTCAGATGATAAATACAACGTTGAAGCTTGTAGACATAATTACAAGCAACGGAGTAACTTAACGTCACTGCAGGCATTATAACAGCCGGTGTTTCTCGTGAGTGTTTTCCCCGGGAAACAAACACAATACACACAAACGCAAAAATACACAAACACACACACGTATACACACACACACTCGCGGGCTTCCCCTATCTTCCCTTCGTACTATTTTGATCATTTGCTCCGCTAATAATCAATCAGATCGATCCAGAGAAGAGGAAACTTTAAAGGCCTTTTCTCAAAATGATGACTCTGTAACAGTCATTATATAATGTGACATATTTTGCTTAATATTTGGAGTACAACAACAATCCTGATATCATTAGAAAGCTAGGAATCTCCTCTTTCCAACAGTGTATACAACTCAAAATGTGTCTTCGGGTCAATGCGACTGATTTCGATGGAGCAGGTCACTTTGCATTAGGTAAAATAAAGCAGGCAGACATAACAGGAAGTATATGTACATTTAACCCAATCAAATAGGACATTGTCACACCATTCAAATGTATCCATGTAAATTACAACCAATAAAAAAGCTTAGATGTGTTTATTCGTTACGTTGTTTACTTTATTTGTTACGTTGTTCTGTGTGTGTCAGCCGTTAACCTAGATAGAAAAAATATATACACTTGCAAACACGTCAGAAGAACCAGCGCAGAAGAAAACTAAATACAGTCAATCTAAACTTAAATTAACAACTGGAAGGTCACATCCCTGACATCCACGTCTCCGGAGCCTGGACCTTCATCAATCATAGAAACAGCGAAGCCAGATGAACCCAAAAGCAGCAGCTCTGGAGGTTTGTTGTCGGGACATTGAGACGGGTAAAGCTGCAGCTAACTGACCGCTAGATCGTCTGGGCAAAGAGAAAGGTACTTGAACGCAGAATGGTACAAAAACAGAGAGTGGTTAATTATTTGCAAAACCACTAAACGGGCCTTCTGTGAAATATGCAGATTTGCTGCTGTCAAACGGCTTGTAACTTTCTCAAAATGTGGAGATGATAGCTTTGTTAATATCGGAGTTAATAACTGGAAAAAGTGCCCAAGCCTCCTGGACAGCCACGAAAAGTCTAATTTCCACAGAGAGTGTATTAAAAAAAAGTGCGCTTTCTTCAGTCAAACACCAGTCAACATACAGCTTGTCAAACAACAGCGTATTGAGCAGGAAAAAAGAAGAGATGGAATGATGGAGCAACTGCGCTGTCTGCAGTTTCTAACCCGACAGGGCCTAGCAATCAGATGCGTGCGGATAAGGAGAGCAATTTCCAAAAGAACTCGTAGCTGAGAAAAACCCCACTCTGAAAAGCTTCATGCTCACCGGGGAAATATGCATCATGAGACAATTAATGAACATATAAATCTAATGTATCGGGAGTCTCTCACCACTATATTAACTGAAATTTAAAAGCAATGCAAAACATGCAGTTATTGTGCTTCCAGCAAACATCCACTGATAAACTGCGATGTTAACAACCTCATGATAACCTCATATTGTTTTAACTGAGGATCTACCTGTGTTTAG